GCTGTGCACCCTGGAAATAGGTAACACCTACAAGCAGTCACTTCCTTAGCTTCAAAAACTAATTTATGAGAAGAAATAGAAAGTTCTAGTACATGATCATTATCTTCAAGATTCTGAAAGCACATATATATGAAGTGAGCAAATTCGATGGTTTTAGAGGCTTCAGTAGAGTATTAGAAATCAACTATTTGTTGCCAGGGAAAAATTTATTTTTATTTAAAATGCATTTATCTTATTTACTTATTTAATTTTTAAAGCATGGTAGCCAGCTCTTCAGCAAAAAAACAAATTTAGGGGCTGGGGTTGTGGCTCAGCGGTAGGTAGAGCACTTGCCTAGCACGTGCGAGGCCCAGGGTTCGATCCTCAGCACCACATAAAAATAAATAAGTAAAATAAAGGTACTGTGTACACTAAAAAATAAATATTAAAAAAAAGAAAAGAAAAACAAATTTAAAAACTAATGGATGGGAGCTGGGGTGTTGGCTCAACGGTAGAGTGCTCGCCTCAGCACCAGATTAAAAAATAAATAAATAAATAAAAATAAAGCTATAAAAAACAACAACGACTACTACTAATGGATGGAGGGTCCATACTTCTGTGATTAAGGATAAACAGCACAAGATCTCATGCCTCATCCAAAGTCCTTACAAGAATGTACAACCATGCCTGGCCCCTGGACTTGTGACCCATCATCTGTGAGACTCAAAACCAGTTACGGCAGTGAAAATCAGGATCATTTCCCAACGGCACACAGCATCAGAAATTCTGCCAGAACTATTATCTAAGGTTACCTTTATACTTCTTAAGAACARATTAGTGATTCAGTTAATTCCACTATTTGCAAAAATAGCTGTCACGTAAAAAACTATGAAGGACCAGAAGAAATCTAACACATTTTTTGTTATCTCCTCCAGAGCCTTCCCTCTCTCACTATCCCAAATTGGGGGGAAAGCGGCCACCCAGAAACACACTTACCCTCCTCCTTCCTCCCTGACACACACCTAGAAACACACTGCCTTCCTGCCTGCTCTGCACAGCAACCTCTGCGTGTGCACCTCCGTGGAAGAGCAGCACACACGGCGGTCCTTCACAAATCAGCTTGGCTCCCACCCCAGTCAGTCGGTCTCTAAACACAGCAGCGAAACAAGCCACACCAAGTCATAGAACAGCAGATCCTCTGACTCCATGAATCAGGGATCCCAGCGTGACTCACCTATGAAGGGACAGGAACCGTGCGTGGAGGCCCGGTCACGGTCAATCAATGTGTGGAGGCACAGGTTTTCACAGGGTGGATCTTCCACCTAGAAGCAGAGCAGGGCGAGCAGCACGGTCAACACCCGGAGGCCTCTAAAGTGGGACTGACCGACCGCAGCCTGGGGGGAGTCGCTAGCCCACTCCTCAACCCCCCTCTCCACCGCGACGCCCCGCTCTCCACCGCGACGCCCCCTCTCCACCGCGACGCCCCCTCTCCACCGCGACGCCCCTCTCCACCGCGACGCCCCCCTCTC